GGGGGGGGGGGGGGGGGGGATTTTGGGGAATTTAAATTCCCAAAGGGTTTAGGGCTGCCAAGGTTGAGAGAAACTACTCTAACACACGTGGAAGGCACAGGTTCAGAATGGCACGAAAATATCCTTGGTTGACAGCTGATTTTCCTTTTAGCCAGTAAATCCCTGGCTAGAATAGGTGATCTCTTAAATCTTTAGACTGGGAGTCATAGTTTTCCACTTACATTTAGGTTAAAGTCATCTCTCCCCACCACTCCAGGGCCATACCCCAATCTTGAACGTACTGTTTTTCAGGGAGGGGATGCAGACTTTTTATTTCTGTTTAAATCGAGAGGAGTCAACTGAGCTTGGCAAAGCAGCTTTAGGAGAGACAGAAAGAAATGCCCTGCCCTGCCCTGCCCTGCCCTGCCCTGCCCTGCCCTGCCCTGCCACCAGATGACCTGATTTCCTTTTAAAAATCAGGTTGGGCAAATTCATGGACTTGCCCAGAGCCAGGGAACAATGGGGGTTGGATGTTCAGGGGTTCCCTGAACTCTCTGGCTTTGCAAGACTGCCTTTGATAGGACCTTCTCTGACCAAGCCGTTGTTCTGCTTGCTCCATTGTTGGGGCCTTGAATGGGGCATGCCAAGTAAAGCACTCAAGGTGTGGTTGATTGGATGAAGGATAAGTTTTGAATGTGTTGGAGGTGTTTAAATAGAGGATCAGTGGCTATCTGGGACAGTGGATTCCTGCACTGGGCAGAGGCTTGGATTAGGAGTCTCTTCTCCAAGTTCCTTTCCAGCTTTCCTTAAACTGTGCTGCCGTCCTTTCTCTAAAGTGGAACTCTGTTCACACTGTTCTATTAAACTAGGAGGAGCTGGGGATAAAAATGGGGAGAGGGAGATTGTGCTGTAGACAGAGCTGCTCTCGAAGATGGTCTGGAAACATCCGTTGAATACGGTGTTTCTCAAACTTGGCAACTTTAAGATGCAGCTGGGGAGTTCTGTGAGTTGAAGTCCACGCATCTTAAAGTTGCCAAGTTTGAGAAACACTGGTTTAATACAAGGTACTGCAGCAAGAACCTTGACTGGAAGTGGGAGTTACAAACCTATTCCACCACGCTTCCAGTTTCCATGGGTTCCCAGTTTGTTTCCAGTCCCAGTTTAGGTGCTGGCATTAAGCAATAGAGCGGTTCATGGCTTGGGAACACGGTCACTGGAGGAACGCCTCTTCCGGGATGTCCTGCAGTCACCTTCAGAGACCCTGTGGCTGGTGCCTTCTTGTCCTGGGAAACAGTGAGGGGCCTGGAAAGCTTTATCAGTGATGGCCCCCGTGCCAGGAATGTGCACCGAGGGCTGATGAGATTGCAGAGACTCTTTCATTTGGCCAGGCATTTTAATGTGTTGATTTTTAATATTTTAATAATTCCTGGGTCTTAGTGTACCTTTTGATTGCCTTGAATTTTATTGCGGGATTGCGTAGGACTCCCTGAGAACGTTTGAATTGGGACACTCTGCTTTTAAAAAGAAACTGAATAAAATGCCTTCTTCCTGCTTTGCTGCAGGTAACCATGGCTGTCTACGACATCCCGGATCTGCTTGCCGGAAGAGGCTGCCTGGGATCGGTCGTCTTCTCAGAATCCTTCCTGACATCGCAGATTCTTGTGAAGGAAAAAGGTTCTGTGCTCACTGAAATGTGTGGGGAAACAACCCTCTTGGGGAAAACACCTCTGTGATTTAACTTGGATGTGCAGTTGCTTAGATTGCTCATTATACCAAAAATGTGATCAAACCTCAGGTGTGGAAGCCATATCGAGTTCACTTTTGCTTCCCCTCTTTTGGGATAAGCCACAGCACGCTGTTAAACCCCACACTTGGAGAACACAATCTGTAGTTTTCCTGTTACATCCAAAAGACAGTGGGGCACGGTGGACAAGGAAAGGAAAATGTGTGTGAGTCCACAATTTATTTGTGAAATAATCAATCAGGATTTAGCGTTACCCAGGAACCCAGATGCATCAGAAAAGTACAGTACATCCTTATTTTGGCTTATAATAGCAAACAATTCACTTCGGTGCCTCCTCTCAGGCTTCTTTTGCCAAAATTCAGTTTCTTGGGTTTGTCAAAGCTAGGGGATTTAATTTTTTTTTTAAAGTCAAGCTAATCCTAGGCAGCTCACAAAAATATTCAATAAAAGCAGGATACATAAAACGAACCAATCCCACAGCAACAACCCGTATCCCAAACAGAGCGTTGCAACATCACAAACCCTTTGCATGTTCTTACATTTGCTGGGCTCACTTCTCTCGTAACTCAAAGCCTGGGGGATGAGATGGGTCTTCCCAGGCCTCCCAAAGACTATAAGGGCGGGGGCCCCCGAATCTCAAGGGGGAGGCTGTTCCAAAGGGTTGGGGCAGCCCCAGAAAAGGGATGTGAAACATTCTTTTATTTTTGAGAACTTCCAGTTGAGCACTGCATCACGCTAAGTCATCGTTTCTCAACCTTGACCGCTTGAAGATGTGTGGTCTTCAACCCCCAGAATTCCCCGGCCAGCCAGGCGGGCT